CAAATAAATAAATAAAATCTTTTTTTTTAAAGATTTTATTTATTTATTTGAAAGAGAGCAAGAGCAAGAGGGATCACAGAGGGAGAGGGAGGAGCAGACTCTCCGCTGAGCAAGGAGCCCGATGTGGGGCTCTGTCCCAGGACCCTGAGATCATGACCTGAGCTGAAGGCAGATGCTTAATCGACTGAGCCACTCAGACACCTCTGATTTCAGAGTTCTTAATCCCTTTACTAAACTACCTGAAAACAGAAATAATCTAAGCAAGTTTGTGATGTTTATAGCATTTTAATTGTTCCTTTTGAGATGGGCAGTGGAAGCCCTAGTTATTGCTAAGAGTGGAGCTCATCAAATAGCCCCCTATTCTTGTAGGGGAAGAAGACAGAAAGACTTGTGACGAGAGGCCCTTGGGTCTCCAGGCCTTTGGTGGTGCAGAGTGTATTTGCTCACTAAGTGCTTAGGGTATGTCTAGGTGGACGTGTCCTCCCATAAGCAGCTCATTGAACTGTATTTACTGTTTACTTGCTGTGGGTCAGATACCACAGGAGGCTGCTTGCATGGAGCTTCATTCCAGTGGGAGGAAACATGATAAACAAACATGTACCCTTAGAATGTCATGTGGTGATAAGACTACCAAGAAAAACCAAATCAGCAAAAGGGGTGGGAGAATAATGGGGACATGGAGTGTGTACAGTTTTGGAGGTGGCTTTTTTTTTTTTTTAAAGATTTTATTTATATATTAGAGAGAGAGGGAGCTCGAGCGGGGGGAGGGGCAGAGGGAGAGAGAGAATCCCTAGCAGACTCCATGCTGAGTGTGGAACCCAACACGGGGCTCCATCCCAGGATGAGATCATGACCTGAGCCGAAATCAAGAGTCAGATGCTTAACTGACTGAGCCATCCAGGTGCTCCAGGAGGTGGCTTATGAATAGAAATTTTAGGGATAATAGGGAGCCATCTGGGGGGAAAAGTGTTCCCAGGTACAAGGAACAGCAGGAAACAGGGGCGTGTCCTTGGTCGGCTCCAGGAACAGCAAGGAGGACAATGTGGTTGGAGCCTGCTGAGCAAGGGCACAGGAGCAGAAGTCAGTCATTCTGTCAGCAGAAATTTGAGTTCTGATAACTGGGGTTCAGTCAGTTGTGAGATGCCCTTCCCCACCCCTTTTTTTCCTTCACATTTTAACATCTATTACATTGGGATGCTTGTTATAATGGTATCATCACTATTGGCCAGGTGGCAGGTCTGACACACTTGTCACTTCCTGTTTATGTGCACACCTGGTTTTACCTGTTTATATTTTATTGCCCCTTCAATTGAGTGCCATGGGTGTTAAATTTAGTTGCCATTTTAAATGCCTTCCCCCAAATCACACTTTGATCAGCAGTAATTAAAAGCTAATGTTACTTTGTATGCAGAGAGGAATGGCAAGAGCAGTGGGGTGTCAGTATGATATTAGTAAAGAAAATGTTTGTTGTTGGAGGAATGACCACAATTCCGTATTTTATCGCAAAGCACCAACAAAGTGCATCAGGGAGCTTTAGAAAGGCAGCAGCCTGTAAGTTTATGAAGCTGTGCCACATTTTGCAATTGAACATATAGTTAGAAGGATTGCCTTTCATACCTAGGCAATGCAGCTAAAGGTCACAGACGCTTCATGTTCCTCAGAAAGAAATCTCAAAGCAACGGGAGGCTGGTGTAACTGTTTACAACTCTGTCCTGGTCTGTTGTTCAGCCATTTTGTTGTGGTTTAATGGGCAGTATTTTTTTCCTTGGCAGTGCAAAAAATAATAGTGCAGCTTATAATCACTGACATGTTAAATTTGGTGAAATATAATATATGTCCAGTCTTGTTCTAGACCATGAGGATATACCAATGAAAAGTACAGGCAGAAACCCTGCCTTCGTGGGGCTTAAATTCTGATTTATGTTTTTTTTACTTTATTTATTTAAATTTTTAAAACTAATCCCTATGTCCAATGCGGGGCTCGAACTCACAACCCCAAGATCAAGAGTCTCATGCTCCACCGATGGGGCTAGCCAGGTGCCCCATTCTTATTTATGTTTTAAAAGAATTATATGCTGTGAAGTGCACAGACAAAAGGGGAAAGTGAAAGCAGAAAGGAGGCCGTCACAGGAGTCCCAGGACAGGGTTAGTGTGAAGAAGTAACAAAGGGTCAGATAGTGATTGGTCAGATAGGGGCAGGAGACCCTAGCACCGGGTAATGGGATGGACGTGGCGTGTGAAAGAGTGGAGTCGAGAATAGCCGTGTGAGTTGGGATATCACTGGGCGGACCTTTGTAACAGAAACCTGCAGTTACAGCTGCTTACGCCAGATCGAGGTTTATTTCTCTCCAAATAGGAGGCTGGGGCTGCTGAGGCCGCTCTGTGTTCATTAGGGGCCCAGGTGCCTTCTGTCGCATTGTACCAACTTGCCTGACACATGGCTTCCATCTTTTGGTCTGTACATGTCTGCATTCTAGCAGGAGGGAAGAGAGGAGAGGGAAAGGAGAAATCATACTCCTTCTGTCGAATGGCACAACTTGGAAGCGTTGTGATCACTTCTGCTCACCTCCCATTGGCTAATGAAAAATATAGGCAGAACCTAAGGCACGTGGCCACAGCTTCTTGCTGAGAAGCTGAGAAGTATGGGTTCTACTGGGTAGCCAAATGTTCACCTAAAAATTCTCTTTTGTTAGAGGGGGAGGACAGTCTAGGCCTTTCTTTCCAGACCCTTCTTCCCAAATCTAGAACACACTGTGCACCTTTCCAAAAGAGACAGCCTTCAGTCAATTTCAGAGCCCAGAATCTCTGGCTGATTGATATACAGTCTAGGAACCTTTAGATTGAGGTACAAGATGTCATGCGCGTGTGTCCCCACCTTATGTACTGTGATTGAGTAGGACAGAATAATGGAAATAGAACTCTAGTTTGGGAAAGGGAAAAATGGGGAGTACAGACCCCTCACTGGTCCTTAGCCATTATTAGCTCCTGCCAGGCCGTGTTGTGGGGACTTCCTGCCTTGGCAGGAGTTCCTGACTGCTCATTTAGCAGCCCTTGGTCTGCTCTCTTGGAGGAACTCCCTTGTCCCTTGCCCTTTGTGGTGGTCTTTCAGTATCTGTTTTCCTCTGGGAATATGTCATTGGAGAATATCCCCTTCTGGGCGATGAACAGTTTCTCCAGCTTCTTTCCTGCTGGATATTGAAGGAGTTGGCTTTATCAACCCTATTTAGCCTCCGAATTACCAGATTCTGAGGAGGTTTAGACTGTAGGCTGTGGACATGTCTTAGGCAGACCTATATTCCCTTTTATCTCTGCATGCAAATTGGCAGGTTGTAGCTTGAATCTGTCTCCTTTTCATGGGACTTCTTGCTTAAAAAGTGGCAAGAAGCCAGTAAGCACCCAAATTCTGAATTGTTCAACCAGTTCCCCTAGAATTACAGGCCATGTTGGCATGCAGGCAGTCATTGAAGATGTCATGGGTTTTACCATACATTTTGTTGTGGTCTAACAAGGGTTACCAACCTTCTGTCCTGCAATATCTGTGCCCATGCTGACCCCCAAGCCATTGCCACATAATTGTAGTCTATTTATTTATTTATTTTTAAAAAAGATTTTATTTATTCATTTGAGACACAGAGATACAGAGAGAGAGAGAGCATGAGCAGGGAGAGAGGCAGAGGGAGAGGGAGAAGCAGGCTCCC